ACGTGCCAGGGTATTAGATTCCTGTCAATTTTGTCCAGCATAAATATTGGCTATGAAGTAGGTACGCCTAGCACATTCTAACAGACCGAACAAGAATGATGTTTCGACGATCCAATGGTCCGTTGGTCTCAATCCTCTGTCAAGTCACAGTAACCTTGGTAACCAAGGGACCTGCAACCTTTCTTACTCTCATCGGTGAAAGCAAAAAAGTGGTGGTCAATGTATGGGCGGCATTGAACAAAATAGCTCTATGATTGATTGGCCAGTGGACTCACATTTGGGGTATTTCCCCCCACTGTGAATTGGGTCATTAGCAGCACTACAAGGCTGCCATGCAACCATGTTTTTGATGATCCGCAAGCTTCAGGGGCCCCCGTGTCTTGAATCGCGGCTTGCCTCCGCTATCAGGTCCCCCCTTGGCCTGTGCTCGTCTCTTGCTTCTCTGTCTTGGGGGTCTTGGCTCACAGTCTGGGACCCACGCAACCTTGCCGCGCAGCACACAAAGGCCAGCAGCATCATCCGTGAGCTGATAGCTTTCCTAGAACTCATCAACATTCTCTCCGGGCTCGCCGTCCACACACTGGCAGCCTTTCTCTTGTGCAGCATTGGGCGAGAACTTCCTTGACCGCGTGACTCTCAAACCCATTGGACGTATCTATTGTTTTTGTCAACTCCTCCGTCTTGTGGCTTTCTCAAGTCGCATTCACGTTTCCCCTTCTGCTGTTTTCTCCAGTTCTTCACTTTTGACAAGCGACCCTCACAATGCCTGCGCCGGCGGTGCCAGAGTAAGATTCCCGGTCGGAATTCGGCGATCGTATCCAGCTGACTTGAGCTCTAGGATCACTGAAGATACCCTTCACGAGTCGATTGAAGCCCGTACCGAGTCACTTGTCTCACTACGCGAGCTCGGCCCCCCGGATCTTGTCCACCTTCTCAAGCAGAATCGCAGCAATCCAGGCCGACACATTGGCGTCTACCATCATGTCACAGGTGTAGATGCATCGTCCTCGGCCAGTCTGGCTGCATATATCAACACTCTCACCTACAATAAGGAGCAGGGTCCGACCGCCGGTAACAAGATTACAGAGGGTATTTACTGTTGCTACAATGCCTTCTCACGCCTGGATATGCGCGTTCACGTCACTATCCCCGGAACCGTCGAGAGCTATTGTGTTGATGAGCGAGGCGAGAAGCGCAAGGCGACCGAAGAGCTTTGGTTGGAGACTTACCTATGCAGTGTGCTGCGAGCCTACTCCTACGCCGACGATGGAAGCGGCGATACCATACGTAAGATCATGGGTGTTCGTCGATTCAATCCCGTCACAAATACCGAGACCGAGCACAGATTCTTGAGCGCAGCAGAGCATCTCTTCTTCCGAGGTTGGCAGGTCGGGTCTGACTCGGTGGTTCAGGTGCCAAACAATGTGTCGAATCACCTCACGGCGGGTCTCCTCAAGTACTTCCACACTACAGGGCGCTTCGCTTCCGCAATCAACCTCTTTGAGAAGCTTCGGTCCCAAAATGTCGAGGTCTCCTCATTGCTGTCAAGGGTGCTATTTATGGGCAATGAAGAAGTACAAGGTGTGCGCGTGCTCTATGAGGCCCTCAAGGAATCTCCCATGGACTATGTCATGTTGGACACACAAGCCGAGTTTCTGATGAAGAAAGCATTGGCAGCATCAACTGCAGAACAAAAGGAGGAGCGCCTGAACATGGCTCTTGGCTGCGCTGATCGAAGCACCATTGCTGCACCTAGCGAATTTGGAACATGGGCAAGACTAGCGCAAATCTATGTCATCAAGGAGGATTGGGAGAATGCTTTGACCATTCTGAACTCCTGCCCGATGTTCACCTACCAGGATAAGGATGCTCCACTCATGCCGGAGCCAAAGGACGTTTACCTGCCCACACTGCCCGAAACCCGCCTGGACGAAATCGACAGCGAACCGGAATCCCGCCAGTACGAACAAGTAGACTCTAGTTTACTCAACCTTAGAGCGGCTGCGTACAAGGGAACCTTTAAGCAAGCATATGCCATCTTGACAGAGATGACTGCCAAGATTGGCTGGGATCAGTTGCTCAAGATTCGAAGCAATGTATTTGTCATGGAAGACGAATACAGAAGCGAGCGACAGGAGACATCGACCGCCCCTGCAGCACGGAACCCTAGTACGGATGGACTGCGCGGATCCCCTGAGCCCACCAACGGTGAAAATGGCGACGAGGAAGGAGATGACCAAGAAAAGGCTACAGACTCTACCGCACCAACACTGACCAACGGCAAAGAAGCATCCTCTGTTGAAAAGCCGGAACACACGATTGATCCAGGTGAGGTGAAGGCCGACGCCATTCAGTCGGATTCCAACAATGTGAGTCGCCATGTCTAATGATATCCCCAAACTTGCATACTGACATGTGGCTAGACCGCAACAACCGAGGAGCACTTGTCTCGCCTCAATAACAAGCGACTCTGTGAGCGCTGGCTTGACAGTCTTTTTATGGTGCTGTACGAGGACCTGCGTGTCTACACCATCTGGCGCACACAAATGGCCCAGTACCGTGCCCAGTCGATGCAGTACAAAAAGTCCGCAGAGGAGTGGGAAATCCTTGGCTCTCTGGCAGAGCGCTTGCAACACCACGATGAGGCGGTTGAGGCGTACCGTGCCTGCTTGTCCCTCCGCTTCAGCCCCAAGGCGCTGACGGGCATCCTGCGTGTCTATGAGAAGCAAAAGAACACGAGAGAAACGATCGCTAGCGTCATTCGCCTGGTCGCCTGGCAGTATCGATGGTACAGCGAATTTTCGCCCGAGCTCCTATATACTATTCGCACTCTGATAGAAGACGAGGGTGCCGTTAAAGTCCGGAGCATCATTCAAGCAACGAGTCTCAGCCAGAGCGTTTTGGATCTGACGCATCACTATGCTGCCCTGTGCCACACGTTCCGTAGCAGTGGTACTGAAGGTTAGTAAGATCCGGTGCATGGGGCTGATGACGAGGGAGACAGTTGGTGTGTATCAAAAAGGAGGATGGAGTTGGGCGACGCGATATCCATTGCTTCTTGTACCTCGATGGAGTGCGAGCGTTTCGGCGTTCTATAGTAGAGCTAATAAAATTGAATGAAACGGAGAAACTACATCGTTGACTGCACTTGCTTGTGTTAATCAAGTAACTTGCCTTGTATTGTCGCGGAAACAGCCGTGTTCTGGCTGCAAAAATAGTTGTTGGTATTAACACACGTGGTTACAGCAGGCTGCATCTCCTTAATCGCACATGGGTTTTACCAGGGACGGGACTGTGACGGACCTTGAGCTGAAAGATGGCATTTATTGCACCGGAGCTCCGACATAGTCCTATTTGAGAATGTGTCAATTTATGTGCACTGTTGGCACTCACTGCTGGCATCTACTAGATGAAGCACAGTGATCCACTATCCAGTAAACCTCCGACCCACCGGCAACGGCATGTCGTCATTTATCTGGCTGCGCACTAATAAGTTGCATGGATTGACCAGGGATGATTATGATGCACCTATCTAACTTGTGCACGACTCTTGTGTCTTGCAGGCTGAAATCTGATATCTTTACATCTCTTTGAATATATTCAATCGGATAGTCCAAAATCGGGGTTTTTTCCCTCCGCGTGCTTAAAAGTCGCCGCTATGAGCAGTAGCTCGAACAGAGATGTTCTGCTTGTAAGTTTGATTCTGTACACGTGAAATGATATCCAAGAGTCCTGATGTAAATTGATAGGCTGGTGCGGCAGCAGCATTCACAGTTGATCTGCTTATATATCCGCTAGATACGTTGAAAACGCGGAAGCAGTCGCAGGATTTCCTCCGCACCTTTGCCGACCCTGCGACCAAGACAAAGCTGCCGTCATCGCAGCTCTTTCGCGGGCTGTACCAGGGCATCGGCATCGTCGTCGTGGCCACCTTACCCGCTGCAGGCACATTCTTCTCCGTCTATGAAGCTGCCAAGACGTTTTTCGGTCGTCATGGATCGAACATGGGATTACCGCAACCTGTTGTGCATTCGGCGGCTTCGGCGGTAGCTGAAATGGCCAGCTGCGTCGTGCTCACACCCGCCGAGGTGATAAAACAAAACGCGCAGATGCTATCCAGCAGTGGCAGTAAAGGGGGTGACACAACTCGGTCAACCAGTTTGGAAGCTCTCAAGCACTTGCGAGGTCAAGGTGCATCTCGACGTTTGCTTAGTGGCTACACGGCCATGGTGGCGAGAAATCTTCCGTTTACTGCTATCCAGTTTCCCATTTTCGAATATGCACGAAGCAAGATCTGGGAACGGAGGTCAGGATCTGGCAACAGCGAGCAGCCGAGCCTGCTCGAGACGGGTGTGGTGACTGGTACAAGTGCGGGTTTGGCCGGCAGTTTTGCAGCCGTCGTCACCACGCCAATGGACGTGGTGAAAACGCGAATGATGCTCATGTCGGGCGAGTCGCAAGGTCCTGTGCAGAAAGTGACGGAGAGCCGCGACAAGCCATCGCCTGATAAAAAGTCCCAAAATCAAAACAAGGGCGGCTTATCGGTTGCAAGACAGGTCGTTAAAGAGCGAGGTATTCCTGGATTATTCAGAGGAGCAGTATTACGAGCTGTATGGACTGCTGTAGGCAGTGGTCTGTATCTGGGCATGTATGAGGTCTCCAAGATCTGGCTGACGAGAGGAAAGGAATCTTCCGATGACAGTTTCCCTTGAGGACCCCCTACTTAGATATAGAAATCCCGAGAGATATGATAATTGTTAGACTTTCAATGTTCTCTCACTCTAGAATTTCCAACGTCACTACCTGAGAAATCAATAATATTAGTGTGGATATTTTGGTGAGTGCATCAAAGCAAGCTCAAATGATTGCTGTTTCCTTGTACTGGCGCCACGTTCCTTCCTGAACTTGCCAATCTTAACGTCAACACACTTATGCTACCCTCCGATCAATCTGCATCAGACTTGATCACAATACGGTGCGTTGTCTATCAACAAGATTCCGCGGCGATGGTGTAACGGTCAGCATCTGGGCTTCCCATGCCTAGGACAGGGGTTCGACTCCCCTTCGCCGCAGTGCATCATGCTACTGTCTTTTTCTTCCTTCCCCTGGGCTTGTATTTTTATCAATTTATATTCTTCTCGCCAAACAAACGTCTGTTGAACATCAAGTCCCAATCATTTCTAGAGTCAATATATCGAATCTAGTACACCCTCCGTATCCCGCACTCCCTCCACAGGCCTCGCGCCACTTCACAGATTGGCCCCGTCAACAACCTTTTCTGTAACTTTACCGTCTGCCTGGACAATGACTTTATCGAGCTTGAGAGATGCCTTGACAGGATTTGGCTGATCGTATACCCATGCAAGCTCTTCCAGGGTTCTCCCTTGAGCTTCGACGCTGGCAGGATGTTAGCACAGGTTCATCCTGTAGGTTCACGGCAGAAGAATACATACCCGAAAAAGTACCATATGATGGATTCAATCACATCCCATCCGACAAATACGTAGATGTAGCGGTACCCAATGTTTCCAAGAGCAATGGGCCCGGCGAATTGGTTGATGAATCCCATGGCACTGACAATGACACCAGAAGCAGCAAGGCCCTTTGCGCGAATTGTAGTTTCGAGTGCTTCTGTGACCACGACAGCCTGCAGAGGAGTATACGTGAAGGAGAAGATGATGTTGAACAAGAAATATGCAGCCAAGCCACCTTGGGCATATGATGTAATAATGTTTTCTCCTTGTTCGTTGATTGCAGCCGACAGTCCTGAGTTGATGGCAAGCATAATGGCACAAACTGGGGATACTCGTCAGCACCATGTTGCAAAACCATATTCACAAATCACCTGTACTCACCAAATGTTCCAATGACCAAAACCTTGCGACGTGGCATCCGGTCTGTCAAGGCCACGGCACTCAGTGCTCCAATGGCCGAAAGGACCGAATTGAGCAGATTGTATCCCAGCTGAGCAGAAGAAGTCGTGATACCGAGTTGTTCAAAAATGACAGTGTTGAAGTACCCAAGACCATTACCAGAAAACTGGCCAAAAATAGAAATCATGAGCACTTGCGCCATCCGCCACCGGCCACTGTGCGAGAAGAACAGTGGGCGATCTAGAAAGACATTAGATCTTGGAAATAAACAATCCTAGACTTGAGTCGACTTACAGTTGAAATTGGTCTTGTCGATGCCGTCTTGTCTGATGCCATCTTTCATTTCTTCCAACTCAAGGAGCACAAGGCGGGAGTTTGGATCACCATTACCATGGTACTTGATGAGAAAATCGCGGGCCTGTTCCTCCTTTCCGTTGGCCATGAGCCAACGGGGCGACTCGGGGATGAAACGGACAGCCGCAATGACGATGACGCACGCAAAGCCTTGGAGGATGAGCGGGATTCTCCATTGATAGTTGTTGCGAATTGAATTGCACCCAAAGGTGATGGCAGCTGCAGGAATCGAGCCACCGAACCAGCCCGTATTATAGAATCCTGTTTGCTCGTCAGACGCTGCATGACTGCCCTAAGTTATTTTCATTTGAAACATACCGGTACATCTGCCACGCCAGTGCGGAGGGGAGATCTCGACGGCGTAGGCGGGGGCAGCAACTGTCATGACTTGTATGCCCATGCCCAGCACAAATCTCCCCACGACAAACTGCGCGACAGTGGACGAGGTCGCGACAATAACGGCACCAACAATAATGACAATAGCACCAAGAAACATGGCCTTTCGCCGACCGAACCTGTCTGACAGGATTGCTGCAAACGGTGCCGCTACCATGGACCCTCTGATGAAAAGGAAAACATTAGTTTATGTCGGGACATAAAAGTCGTGTATGGCAACTCACACAGTATACAGCGAATACATGACGGCAATCTTTGAACCGACGGACTTGGTATCAAAAGTGGCTTGAAAGTGATCCATGGCAATGATGGCCGTCATGAGGGATCCTATAGTCACGCCCAAGTCAGTAAACAGGAACTGACTCGTTGACCGTCCTCTGGATTGAGTACTCACCATCATATCCATTGGCGCAGGCGCAACAAAACGCAACAAAGACGGCAACTGTGTTGTGTGAGCTTGGGAACGAGTGCAAGTAGCACGCAAGACCACATACAAAATAGGTGGAGCGATTCTTTGCTTGTCTTTTTGATCTTGGTCTCTTGGATTGCTGCATAGAGCTCGGCCTGTTCATCTCATGATCAATTCTTGCAGTTCTGACACTTGATTAAAACCTTGTAGACGCGTCAACCCACATTGTGAACCTCTTTCGCCTGAGCTCCCTCAAGCTGGGCAGTCTTTCCGGTACCAGTATCGACAGCGATACGATGCTGCTCGCCTGCAACGTCTTCGACAACCTTAGGCTTTTCGTCTGCCATTTTTTCGAGTTTACTATTTCGAATGGGGAGTAAAATGTGGACAGGCGACGCAGCAGGATGGATCTGAAATCATATATAATACCCAGGTAGTCGTATCATGGGATTTGTTCCTGTTACCCCAACTTACCCCAGAGAGACCTTCAGGGTTCGACAATGGCACCATTCCCAGATAGTGGTACGGATAATGCAACTCCAACCCCCCAAACCCAGTCTAGACTCTTTCGACCCCAGATCATCCCCAGATCTCCCCACTCCTCCTCACTACTTGGACCAGGCCACCTTCACTTGACATGTCTCTTATTGGTGGACTAGGCCTACAAGTAACACGATTCCACCACTTGTGCTTCGTTGCAGTCCGGTCGCTTGCATTCCTGTCAATCGCTGCCAACGATTGTCCTATTCCGTACCCACGGCTCACTCCTGCAGGATGCAAGAGTCCCAGTACAAACTTCAAATGAGAGGCATAAGCGAGGTCAGTGCAAACAAGCTTTGACAAGGTCCCCAGTTTATCTAAATGTTGCTGACATCTAGTGACCGTTAATTTTGACAGGTTGGGCAGCGTACGTATAGTGTATGCACAAAGCCACGGCGGGTAGAGAAGTATACCCCTTATTGATTGGAATACATACACAAAAGTACATGGCCTGGTACAAACAGTCTGAATTAACAATAGGCCAGCTGGATTTGGAAAATCATAACGGGTCATCATTCAGTCCCACCTCTACTTGGGCTTGTGAGAGCAAACAGGTTTCTGTATCTGCAGTTTTTGAGATACAGTCAGTTTTCGATGCAAGACCGACTACCTGTGACTACAGGCTGCTGAGAGAACATAGCTCTGATTAGGTTCGGTTGATGCTAAAGCTTCTGAGACGCAGCCTGGAGATGCGGTAGATCAAGTAAGCATAAGTTTCGCGACGTCTGTCGCCACGCGTCATGAACGAAATCATTCGAAATTTTCTAAGAAAGTGCCGAATTCTATCACATAATTTTCAAGTAAAAACGCAGATAGCACTCATCATGGTCAGACTGCCTACAAATGGTACGTGGCGCCAAGCCTTCAACGAGGTGAAAAGAAGAACTTTTGTTGTAGTGGGAAAGCACAACGCTTATGTCATATCCAATAGCTAGGTCGTATCATTTATCGAGAGGAGACGGGGTGCAAGTTCCGTCTCCGGCTTCTATCGGCTCCCATGGTATCCTCCACAAATGAGTAACTGTAAGTCTAATGTTGCAGATTTCTCTGCTCCGGGACGATGCTGCGTAATCTGCCTTCTTGCAGCGACATGCGGACGTTAGAAATAGTCCACTCTTCCATCTTGGTCTGCGTCTCGACTGAATACGTTCCCATGTGCGGCACTATAAGCACATTTTTATTGGCAAGAAGGCCAGGATGGATCTCTGGCTCGTTCTCAAACACATCGAGGCCAGCCGAGGCTACGTGGCCAGAGTCAAGAGCAGCGACGAGAGCCGCCTCATCCATTACGGCACCTCGAGCGGTGTTTACAATCACCACACCTGGCTTCATCATCTCAAATTGTGCGGTGGAGATGATGTGTCGTGTCGCCGGCTGCAACATTTCATGAGTATTTCGTGGTTGTAAGAGAGCCTGGGAACTTGACTTACGTTCAGGGGTAGGTTGAGACTCAAAACGTCACTCTCCCGCAACAGATCTTGAAAGCTTCTGTATTCAACATTGACTTCCTTCTCGAGTGCCGTATCCAGGCGAGTGCGGTTGTGATAGAGAATACGCATGCCAAAGACGCGAGCCTTGATTGCCATGTTGCGGCCAATGCCGCCCATGCCTAGAATTCCAAGCGTCTTTCCTTGGGGGTCGTGTCCCAGTGACGGCACTGATGTCGTCTTTCCACCACGCCACTCGCCCTTGCGAAGATTGAGCAGTGAGGCGTTGAAGTTACGCAGCGCGCCGAGCATGAGCCAGATACCTGTGTCAGCCGTGGAGTCATCAACTGCAGTGGGTGCATTTGACACATGGATTCCTCGCTTGGTGCATGCCGCAACATCAATGCTGTCATAACCCGCGCCGTTGTGACAGATGAAGCGCAGGGACGACGGCAAGTGCGGCACGAGCTCTGCGTCCACTGGGCCTGTGATCGAGTTCGAGTCAAAAGTGCGGTAGGCGACAACCACTCCGTCGAGTGCTCCAGAATTACACTCGCTGATGAATTCGGCACGAGTGGTGGATTTGGCCGTCACGAGGTCGGCGATGCTGCTGAGCGATGTCCAAGCCTCGTGGGCGCTGTAATCCGTGTTAGCAGTTGGGCGATCATGGCGGGGATGGACAATAAGACAATCATAGAACAGAGCAGGAACGTAGAGGAAGATGGAATTCTTTCGTGGTTTCAATCGGGAGAACATCTTCGCTCGGGCAGTGGAAGTTCTCGCATCATGAGACTGCCACAGAGCGCCTTTCCCGTGGAGAGGTGGGGAAATGCTATACTGACTGCTCGATAATGCCCAGCAACAGGACCTTGGGTTTGCTCATTGTCGGATTACTGTGTCGCGGATACACTGGCGAGAAAACTGTAGTTTGTAAGAAAAGAAAAGACGGGTCAACCTCGTCGTTGGTGTAGTCGCGCTGTCAGGAGCGTAGATAGATCACCAGTAGGCTTTCCCGAACAAAGCGGTTGCTGGTATTAGCCGCGGAGATTATGTATAGAGGCCAGGGTGTTGTG